AAGGTGTCTAAGGACCTTCGAGATGCGGAGGGAGGTAAAAAAAAAAAAAAAAAAAAAAAAAAAAAAAAAAAAAAAGACTATTTAATAGACAAAATTAAACTTCTTTTCCAAAAAGATGTATTTTCATATAACTGAACAAACTTATAAGACAAATTTGATAGAACAAGTCTTCTGCTTAGAAAAGATTTCTATTTACTTTTTAGTCAGCAAAATATTATTAAGAAGAACTATAAATATACTCAAAAAGTATAGCAGATATTTGAGATGAAAAGTTTATAATTTTTACTTTGAGACAAATATACTATTATTATTTGCTAATATATTTATAAACTATATTATATATCATATATTTAAAAAATGATGGCTTAAATCTTTCTTACTATATTTTAGCACCAGAAATATTTAATTATTTCTTATATAAAAGTAATGGAGCTAAACTTAAGCTTATAACAAATAAGAATAAATATCTGATGGTTGAGAATAATATTTGTGAAGAGATAACAATAGCAAGTTATTAATATATCAAAGCAAATAATCCTTAATATCTTGACTATGATCCTAGCAAGCCAAAGTTTTGGATACTATATGAAAATACGAATGCTTTATATTCAGGTACAATAACCTAATACATGCCTACAGAAATTCTAGATAAGATAAGTTTAGAAGGAGTACTCAATATCCAAAGTATTATACTAGATACAGAAATATCTATATGCTTGAAGCTGATTTAAAAGCCTTGATGCACTTGTATAATTACTTTGCAAATTATTTTTTAGCACCAGAAAAGCAGATAATATCAGAAAACTGGCTTAATCTATACAATAAAATGTTAATACATAATAAAAATGTTGGAAAAGGGAAATATATATCTGGAGAAAAGCTAGTTCAAACCTTTTTTACTAAAAAGAATTATATAGTTCATTACTGAGCTCTCTAGAAATATATAAAGTTCAGAATAAAGGTTACAAAGATTTATAGCACTCTTAAATTTAGACAGTTTCCATAGTGAAGGAATATATTGAAAAAAATATTTGTAAATACAAAATAGCCAAGACAAATAGAGATAAGTTTAGGGTCATATATTATAAGCTAAAAATAATAGAATGTCTGTAAACATATAAAAGTAGAACTACTCCAAACAGAAGAAGATAAAAAAATTAGGTGTTTAGTAAGTTTACTATTTTTGTAGACTTAAGCAATTTGAGAAAAATATTATAGCAGTTCATATATTAAAAAGCACAGTAATATTAAATAAACTAATCTATGTAGAGTAGACAATTCTTGACATTAACAAGGCTATTATGTTTAATTTTTAGTACGGTTATATAAAGCCTCGCTATGAAGATAAAGCATATCTATTATATAAACACAGACTTACTTATCATGTGAATAGAAACTGAAGACATATATAAAGATCGAACAGAGAAGCTAGACATTTTTAATCTTAACAATTCAGGTAATTTATTTCTGATAAAGAATGAGACAAAAGGTATATTAATAGAGAAGATAGTATATTTAAAGCCAAAGATATACTTAGTTCTTCTAACAAGATATGATTCTAAAACTTCTGATGACCTAAATTCTAAAGATCCTAAAAAAAAGCACAATATCCAAAAGGCAAAGAGTATAAAGAAATATGTGATTAAAAAGGAGCTTTAATATGATAAATTTTTAGAATATTTTAGAAATAAGAAACTAACTTAGCATGATATATATAGTCTTTACAGTTATGATTATCAAATATATTTGAAAAGGATGAATAAGATAGATTTAAATTTATATAATAACAAATGCTATATCTTATTTGATGGAATTTGAACCATTTTCTATAAATATTGGCAAATTGAATTATATAAACACCTGATAGTATCTGAAATATCTTCTAAGCAAGCAGAAGAAAAAACTATGAAAGTTAGATTTTGTTTTAAAGTATAGATACTTTATAACAAATATTTTTTCAAATAAAAAAATTCTAATAAATATATTTTCATTAATTAAGGTTTTTTTATTACTATAATAGAAAAATAAATAAAATAATTAATCATAAAAATATAGAACTTGCACAAGTCAAAGACATAAAAACTGCATTGCAAAAAGGCAGTAAATATAATAATCTTGTGAAAAATTATAGAGACTATCTAAAGAAATTGCAAGCTGAAAAAAATCTGAATGATTATATTAAGATAATTGTAGTCAAAATATTTCTGAATGAAAAGACATATACTCTAAGGCTAGAAAATTATTATAAAAGATATACAGATAATGATTTGTATATCTTTTTTTTTTTTTTCCTCTTTGGCAACCTTGCCAGTGATCCTTTATTAAGATTATTATATAAAACTAGTTATATAATGTTGAGCTTATTATTTAGGCCTGACATCCCTCAGCTGTCTCTATAGATGCTCAAAAGCGGTCTGCTGCACTAGGTAGAGGTTTATATTCTCCACCTAGAAGGCTTTTACCAAGTTGCTTGTGAACCTCGAAGAGGTTTTGATTTAATTTTGTTGAGTCAAGTTTATCTGAATACTCTTCTGCTATACTATTATCTAATTTTAATCTATCTAATCCTAATTCTATTTAGTTATCTAAAATACCTTTCTTTTGTAAAAATACTATACTATCTATTTCTAAGCTAATATTCTTCTTTTTCTTTTTCCATTTTACTCTATGTTTCTCTGCAAGTAACTTGACTCTTATTTCTTCAATACTTCTTTTTTTTTCCTCTTTATCTTCTTCATAAATTACTAATAATTCTTTACTCTGTAATAGAGTTTTCTTTTTTACTTTTTTTTTTCTGCTTTTCCAGTTTGTTCTAGTCTTCTTACTTCTTCTCACTTGAATTAGGAGTTCTCCCAAACTCACTAAAATTTTTTCTAAAAGTTTCTTCTGTGATATCTTCAAATTATCTTCCGTTTGGTTAGTTTCTTTTTCTTCACTATCTATAATTCTTTTCTCTAATATGTCTTGAAGTTGAAGATAGCTTTTTGTTAATTCTTTATAAAGATACTTGAGGTTTTCTCTTCTTTCTCTTCTTTGAGCTTCTTCTTGTTTCACTCTTTTT